AAAAGCAAAAAGGATCCTGGATAATAACAATTTGAACAAAATCGAGAATTGATGGTCGTCTAAGAAAAAATAATGAACGCCTGAAATTAGAGGAGGATATCAAATATAGATTAGTAAAAGAAAAAGAAAAGAAGAAAGACGAAGAAAACAAAAGAAAATACATCGAATAGTATAAAAATCGAAGCAAAAGAAAAATAGGAAGAACAAATGCAAGATTAGAAGAAATAAAAGTTGAAGAAGACGACGAAGAAAGAGATTCAATAAGGAAGAAAGATAGGCATTCATAGAAAAAAAAGAGAGTGATAAAATGACAAGAAAGTGCCAGGAATCTATTTCACATAAGAAAAATGTTTGTTTAAAATAAAACATATATATTGTTATTGCTTTTGCGAAGAATTTCAGGATAAAAATATCAATTTCCAAAGTTTTTACTGATTTTACAAAGATTTAAAACGTTTAGTTGATTTTTAGATTTTTCTCTAGTGAGATTTCTCTCACGTAATTTAACCACAGACGTATATATATCTACAGAACATGTCTCCAATAAGCATGCACACCATACGAAAGCACGCAGTATCGACCAAACAATCAAATCAACACTGATACTAACACTCTTCCTTATAAGAAAGAAAAAAAAACTCATTGTGTCCGTACATACAAACACAGATAATTGCTCTCCGATATATATATATATATATATATATATATATATATATATATATATATATATATATATATATATATATATATGAATTAGTGTGTATGTGTGTGTGCATGTGCATGTATATGTATGGATACTCCTCGCAAAGGTGTGTATGTGCGCGTATATAAGAATATGCAATTAAGTTTAAACATGTGACTTATTTTTCTACAAATTGATTTATTCAATGAAATATATATTTTAGGTTTTTCGAGAGCAAAATAAAATATATTCCTGCGATTCATTCAATTTATTGGCCTGAATAAGACCATAAGTACAACATTGAAACAATGAAAATGTAGTGAAGAAAATCATTATTAATGTTGTTTACTACAGCTGCAAAAGCAAGGCATTCTAGTTCAATGGGTCATCATACTCTAATTCCTTTATTTCTTCTTTTCTGCGTGTTACATTCTACATTTTTCTGAATGTTTCACACTTGTTTCATTTAGTTTCTAAATCGAGCAATCTTCATGTTCTTTTCTCCATAGGATAATAGAAACATTGAAATAGAAAGTACCCAAAATGAGGGCATAAAATGTGCCTAGAACTACTTGTAAAAAGATTAAGTATGTTTGAAATGTTTAACAAATACAATTAATCTCGGTTTGTTCCCAATTAAAAACATTTAATGGAAAGAGGGATCGAACGAAGAAGTATTACTTACAAAGAATGCCTAATAGTGAAAGTGTGTCCTCTTTTATCACTTTTCTTATCGTTATTTCTATGTACGTAATTTTATGCATATATTTACTGATCATTCTATCTGCTTAGAAGGAAAGTTTTTGTAGTTTCTGAATAAATTTAATGTCCTACAAACCACGAGACCTTTTCTTTCAACCAGTGTTTTTCAAATATTTCCTTCTTGATTTATATTTCCCACAAACACTCACACACCAAAACACGCATGTCTGTCTGTTTCTCTCCCTCTTTCTGTATATATATATATATATATATATATATATATATATATATATATATATATATATAATAAACTATAATGGAGATAACGTTTTTTAATGCTTCAAAATAAATCCAGGTACACTGGTAAATATATGTATAGTGCTGCTGCATGTGCATATTATTTCATCCTTTCATGGTTTTGCACAACAAATTATTACGCGCATACACACACGCTTACACATACAACACGCTGTATGGACATCTTTGTATATTAATATATGAATGATATCGTTGCTCTTTGCAATTGCAAGTTCATACATACATACACACACGCGCGTGCACGCACACACACACACAGACACACACACACACATATATATATATATATATATATATATATATGCCTATCTGTTTTCGTTAATTGAGTATGTACGAAAATAGTCAATATATGAGTTTTTTTATCTACAAAACACACGTAAGCATGGAAGAATTTCAGCACACTGATTTTTCTAGACAATTTTGATATGAAAAACATTCAGTAATTAAAACGACACAATTTTGTTTTTTAATAACCAGCACCCATTTATCTGGTCTCTCAAACAGAATAACCAATTAACATGGCTGACGAAAACAAATATAAAACTTTAACAAAGTGTACAAAAAATGTTTAAACCACATTTAATTTTTTTTTTTAATGGGTGGGAGAATAAAAGTCAATACTTTTGTTTGTGTTATTATCAGATATTTTATGACTATTGACAAAATAAAGAAAAAGTCAGACACTGTGCCTGAGGAAATACATATTAAAATTACATTCATAATAATTTTCTATTTTGTATAAATTCAAATTCAAATCGAAATGTTTTGTTTTTTTCAATTTTTTCTTGCTTTTTGCCTTTCTTTTCGCAATCCTTATCGGAACTTGAAATATGTTTTTAATTTTAACTTGAAATTAGTCATGGGGGTAGTTAAATCAAAATGATTGGAAAACGAATGAATATATCGTTTTTTTTTTCTTTTTAAATATTAGATTTTAGGGTTTTAATTTGGTATTTCCTAAATAAATTTGAAGAATTTCATCTTAAAATAAAAATCAACAATTGTTTCTTTTTTCAGGAACATTTTCTTTAATGTTTTTTTATAAACGTTTCAAAACAAATCTAAAACATTAAATGTAAAAAATACTTCAACATTTCAGAGCAGAAACAGAATAAGACTACGAACAACGATTTATTTTTGTTAGAATTTTAAAGAATATAATTTAACAATTTTGGTTTTGTAATCGATCTTATTTTTACATTTATAAATAAAAACAAGTTAAAAAATAACAAACAAGGTATTTAACTTAAAAACTTTACTTTTAGCACGTGAAAAATTATTAATGGAAAGGTTTCTAAAAAATTCTCTTCTTTGAGGCTGGGTTCTAAATTTAATCAAATGAAATTGTGTTTTAGGCATTGAATTTTGATTACGATCTAATATTTAAATCTAGATCATAATTGGAATTTTATTTCTTTAGTTCATTTCTTACTTCATTTGATTTTCAAAAAATAAGAAATAACTTTTACTACTTTTAGAAATATTTTATCACTAGCTTCCCTTTTGTATTTGTATCTTTAATTATTTATCATATTTTCTAACTTCCAGATGTAAAGCCCATAAGGTAAGCCTGCCTTACATATCTGCGTGCGCGTATCCTTCACAAAATGAAACTAATCAAAAAGTAAATAGATTTACAGTGAAATTCTGCTTTGATTTTCGGTCTATCCGTCAGCTTAGTATCTCTGGAGATTGAAATGATGACTGATTAATGCGGAACATACATGTAAAGAGTTCTATTTGTCAACTGAAATAATTCTTTAATATTTGAGATTTGAATTCTTTTTAAACTCATTTTTTTATTTAGAAAATTTGTTTTGGAAGAAACAACGAAATATGGCCATAGTATTCAAATATTAAAAATTGAACGGCTTTCCTTAGAATAATTTTATTCTGTTTACCATTATCTATCTATCTATCTATCTATCTATCTATCTATCTATCTATCTATCTATCTATCTATCTAGGGAGAGAGAGAGAGAGAGAGAGAGAGAGTTTAGCGACCTCGGTTCCACTTTGACAGAAAGAGAAATGAAAATGTCAGAAGATTACGGGATTATATATATATATATATATATATATATATAATACCTTTTAACATTATGTACAGATTATTTAGTTCCTATTACAAGATCGTGGATATGTTTTATATTGCTTAAATGTTTACACGCTTTGGAGTTCTTGAACGTGTTGTCCAGCATCACCCTCATCCTCTCTCTGTCTCTCTGTCTGTCTCTCTGTCTGTCTGTCTCTCTCTCTCTCTCTCTCTCTCTCTCTCTCCCTCTCTCTTCGCAAGTCTTCTAATTAATGAATAATAACCAAAATATTTCATATTAAAACAGAGAAGGGGGAAATGCATTGTGGGAAATTTTTTCAATTAGAAAGCAACGTTTATTGAAAATATTTGATCAGAGGGTTTTCGCGCCTCATGTGCGTGTCCGCCCTCTGCAAACGTATGGTGATATAGATTTTCACATTATGGATTATTTATCCATATTTTACCAATTGTTGTTGTTGTTGCTTTCTTCTTTTATATTTTATTGCTTTGCACTTTGCCTGACCTGGACTAAGATAATTTTATAAGTTTATGTAACTAGTACGTCGCGTCCATAAAACCTATATGACTGCATGTACATATACAACGGAAGTATTTTCAGCAACATTTAATGCTTATTCTTTATCTTATATTAGGATTATTTCTTGCAGCATTTAAACAAAATTCTGTCCCCTCTTCTTCGTCATTAATATTATTATTATTATTATTATTATTATTATTATTATTATTATTAGTAGTAGTAGTAGTAGTAGTAGTAGTAGTAGTAGTAGTAGTGTCGTGTTGGTTTGGACAGCTACAAGAAAGTTTGTTTTAATACTGTTAACATCATAAAAAGAGCGCAAAGAGATTTAGGCAGGCGGGTTTTACTTCTGGGCTATATCTTTGTAAATATGTGCTACGATTTAAAAAGAGTAAAAAGAAAAGAACCTATTTGATTTTTTCTGTGTGAAATACAAAATTCTGTGCAAGTATTTTATTTGTTCTGATTTTCATCTTATGTTAATCTTGTAGCATATCTATTAACTACTACGATTGTATATATAGTATATGTGTAAGTGTGCGTGCTTGGTATCTTTTAGTTATTAAATCTGAAACGAAAACAAAAAAATTGGTCAAGCCAATGATTGCATTTGTTTTTATGATTCTTTTAGTATTTTTTGTTTTCATTTTTTTGTTCAAATAAAAGAAAATTGTTTCATATTGTTGTTTAATTCTTGTTTTGCTCCATATCTGTTTCGTCTTTTAAGGCTGTTCCCAGCGCGTATATCTTTCGTCGCCATAGCGATCTCCACCGTCAGTATTGTAACTCCCGGTATTGTAATTTCCGGTATTGTAACTTCCACTACTGTGGTAGCTGTTGTCATGTCCACCCCATTGGTTTTTGGGTTTGCTCATCTCTAAATTCATCCCGTTATCAACATTATCAACGTTCTTTTCCGTGTTGGCACCGCCGCCATAGTTGGAGTACTGCTGGTTCTGTCGTTCGTCGGCATTATACAGACCTCGGTTCTCCGTCACCGGTGTTTTCATCTCCTCGTTTTCAAATGGTGTATATTGGTAGGCTTTATTCAAATAGTAAAGGGCAGGCGCATAGAGGATATTACTAATACAAATAAGAATATTCAACGCCAAAAAGCCTATTGAATGCACAATGCTGCCGGCCACAATCGGACCAATAGCGTAAGCAAGAGAGTAAGATATATCAGCAATAGCGTACACGCTCCCATAAACGGAAACGTGCCTCGTATCCACAAGGTAACCAAGAGTTGGTAGTAGGGCTGTGTCGACACAAGCGATTCCAAAGCAGATACCAGCGATTGGCAAAATCAAAACGGCGAATTTCGTTGCAAACGGGATGAAGAAGCAAGAAACCCCTTCCATTGCCAGGCCAGCGGCTGCAAGAATCCACAGTTTATTGGGGTGTCTCTCAGCGTATTTGACAGTGATGTAAACTCCAGCAATATGAGGCAAGAAGGCTGGAAGCCAGATGAAGCCCATTTCCCATTCTGTGGCATCCATAGTGTCCTTCATCCACAGAGAAATGGTTGGTTCCAAAAAGGCAAGAGAAACATTGGCCATGGCAAGGGCTCCAGCGCAGTTAGCAATGTATGGATCCATCAAGAGTTTATAAATGGGAGTGCCTTTAACTCTTTGATCTTCAGGAATTTTTGATCTTTGACTTCGCACTGGTTTCATTACTAAAAGTAGAAGAAAACCGTCGATGAGAGAAATGGTTGCCAAAAAGAGAAAAGGAACTATTTTTCCAGCCAATTCATAGAGAATTCCACCAAAAGGAGGTGCTACGAGACAGCCAAAGGAGATAAAAGCTAGAGCGATACCCAACGCTCGGCTTCTCTCCGATTCTTCTGTGTAGCGATCAGCAATCATAGCTAGGCCTGATGTGTCTGCAAAAGCGGAACCCAGTCCTTGAAGACTTCTCGCCATAAATAACACTCCATAGCTTTCCCCAAACGCAAAAACGGCTGTCGATAAAAATATAATTATGAGTCCGATCATCATAGGCATATCATATCCGATTCTGTCAATTAAGGCTCCAGTAAAAGGGTTAACCATCAGCTGAAGAATGGCTTTAGAAGCAAATAGAAATCCAATGGCACCCCCTTCATTCCCGTAATCGTGGGGCGGGGGAGGTAGAATAGTTGTTGAAGCCACTACTGTGTACCATGCTCCAGTGGTATTAGGTCCCGTTGCGTTCCGCCAAACCTTGTTGTAACGGATTGGAGCTTTGGTGGTAGTGACTGGAATCTCATTTCCGCCAACGTTCATACTTCGTAGATAATTAGGAATGATAGGTACAATAACCATATACAACATGTTGTCCAGTAGAAGAGCCACGCACACAATTATTAGCACGAGGCGCCGTTGTTGATCGGGTTCGTGAATTTTGGCATTGGCACGGTCAATTAGTTCGAATGATTTATCTTTGAGAACTTGGGCAAACTCCATTTTTATTGCTTCTTAATAGGCCTGTTTGCTTTTTTTTACTTTGGTTTGGTAACGCAGTAGTTTCTATAATGTATTTTTGTAAGATGAATTGAAGAAATATTCGTCAAGAAAATATTGTAAAATACTGAAGTCTCCTTATTTAACTGGATTTTTGTTGTCCTCTTAACGAAATTGGCATCCGTTTCTCTCTTGTCGACGTGCTTCTTTTTCAATTATTCTCATTTTATTGGGGTTTAATTTTCTTCAAATATAATTCGAGTAATATATATCCTTTGAACTATCTTGAAGTGAACAAAAGCAATTTATGCAATTATTTTTCTGCCAGTCGGTTTATTGAAGCAGTTCGTTGTTATTTTCCTGGCGTTTTCTTTTATTTCATTGCCTTCAAGATCGTGAAAAATATGAACTTTTTATCCAAGAAGTTTTCTGAATCTTTTCCTCTTTTTGTTTTTATTTTAAAACTTTTCTTTCACTGTTTGTTCTTTTTCTTTTAAACTTTGATTTTAAATTCACTGATATCATAAACTCATCAGGAATTAAAAAATTCCAAATTCATGTGAATTTTAATATGAAACAAGTAATAAGTCTTTAGATAATTTAAAATCTGTAATTATAAAGCTGGCAAGGGCACAGAGTCTGAGAGTGAAAATTAAAAGTTGAATAACAGAGAAAGTAAAAAAAAAATACAAATCTATAGAAAAAGACAGAGAGCAAAAGAGGAAGGTTTCTATTCTTTGCAATAAAGATATTCAAAACGTCTTCTTGTGTTTGTCTTTCTTTTTTGTACACGTTTAAATTTTGGGTTTTGGACTAACACTTTAAATCTGTCTTTATCAATAAATTGTTCTTTTTTTCGTTTTCGATAAAGTTGTAATAATGCTTTTTCCTTTTTCAAAAGTTCTTTACATCTTCTTTTGGTGCTTTTCTCATGACAAAGAAAAGCAAAATTTTGATGATTTTTCTTTGCAGTTTAAGGGATGTTATCGTTGTAGTTTTCCGTTTTTCTTTTCTCTTTCTTTTCTCTTTTCTCTTTGTAGGTCGAACTTTTTAAAGCAAAGTCATTTTTCTTTTTGGAAATACAGTCTCTCTTCTCTATGTTTTTACTTCTTAACTGAAGTTATATCGGGTCAGAGACGAGTGTGATTTTATATGTGCATTTACTTTCATCTTTTTAAAATGAGTATATGTGTGTGCATGGCGAATGTACAATATAGTTTATATATCTTATTTGTTGATGACACTTTTAAGTAGAAAGATTTTAAGTGGTTGCCTCCCTTTCCGCCTGCTCGCTGCCGAACTTACTCACCAGGTGGGGCCTGCCTCGATTCCTTTTTCTGTCTACCAGGCGACCCACTGAGAGAGAGACCGGAGCAGTAATCCCTGATAGTCTTGGACCCCCTGAAGAGCAGAAGAAACGATAACGTTATTTAAGTTAGATTTAAGAGTCGTCTTCGGTCGTCTGATATATATATATAAAATATAAATATAATAGAGATAATATATATATATATATATATATATATATATATATATATATATATATATATATATATATATATATATATAGATATATAGATAGATAGAGATAGATAGAGATATTTGCATCTAAAAAGAGATGATTTGTGTATATGTGTATGTTTCTAATATTTATCCTTTTTATTAATAAAATGACTTGTGTTCTTATTAGAAAATGTAATTCAAAAGTGTTAATTTTTCATTATCGACATTTCATGTCACTGAAAAAGTGTCTACTTTGTAAAAACCGAAGACCCAAGTAACATAATTTTATAATTCATTAGAATATAATCTAACTGTTATTTTATTTCCTTAGTTAAACCATTATTATTATTATTATTATTATTATTATTATTATTATTATTATTATTATTATTATTATTATTATTATCATAGTAGTAGAAGGAGTAGCAGTAGTAGTAGTATTATACGTTTACCAATAGAATTTAGTGAATAGTAATGGTATATAAGTGATCTCAGATTTCTACAGCATATACGAAATCTACTGAAAAAATTCTATATCATAAGTATTATTATTAAGATTAAAAAAGTGGTAATTCCGAAATTGCACCAACTGACACATATATATGAGTCTAAATAATAAATTATATATAAATATATATATATATATATATATATATATATATATATATATATGTAATATTTATATGTGTGTGTGTGTCATTGAATTTTATAAATTTTTAAAGTTTTTTTTTTTTAATGTTTCTGCTGCCCGTCATTCTCATTGGGTAAAACGAATTGGGCCAGTTCAATTATTAACTATCTTCAATTGTCTATAGAAAGTGTTTCTTCAGTATAAAACAGTTACTACCAAATATATATATATATATATATATATATATATATATATATATATATATATATATGTGTGTGTGTGTGTGTGTGTGTAAATGTATATATATATATATATATATATATATATATATTAATTTCTTTACTAATAAAATAAATTTGGAATACTTTTTTAAATCTTTTAATATATTTCGGTATAGTTTCGAGAGCGTCCCAGATATAAAAAAACATACATGCATTTTAAAATGGCTCGCTATGCATGAAATAGGCTTTTCAGATTTTATGCGTGTATACTGTATGAGTATATATATATATATATATATATATATATATATATATATATATATATATACATAATTCTTGAACCCAAATACGCAAGCTAAGAAGACCTGTCTCTATATCTCTTTAACAGAATCTCAGTTTATATCTCCGCACACACACACACACACACACACACACAAACACAGATCTATACACACACAAACACACATACACAAACAAACCCACACAAACACACACACACGCATATATATATATATATATATATATATATATATATATATATACATACACACACACACACACACACACACACACACACACACACACACACACACACACATATATATATATATATATATATATATGAATTAAATAATAATTCGTGCGTTCGTGAGCATATACAAATTTTCAAATAAATATTTTATTTTATTTTTGGTGTTAGCAAAATAGGGCTTAATGTGGTATTATTGATCCATAAAGTATACACTAATTACGTATTAGCTTACGTCGATAGATTTATGTTAAATACACTCGTCAGGTACTTATAATGGTGGTGAACTGTTCCTTACGATCGTTAGAATTTTCAAAATATTCTAATGATCCTAACGAAAAGTTCATCACCATGAACCTAAAGATTGTATTTAACATGAAACTCAAGTAGTACTATCCATGTAAGATAATATATATATTTATTATACACACAGACACACAAACACACATATACACACACACATATATATATATATATATATATATATATATATATATATATATATATATATATATATATATATATATATATATACACATATATGTGTGTGTGTGTGTTCATATGTGTATATAGGTTATATATATATATATATATATATATATATATATATGTGTGTGTGTGTGTAGCGTATAGCTATTAGACTAGTTGAACTTTGAACTTATATAGTGTTAATTTAGCTGATTTGAAGCTATATTATGTGTTTATTATGCCGTAACACTTTTGAAAAGTACTCTTTTGTTGATGTTCTTTTTAGACCTTTGTAGGCCAGTAACAAAATATAAAATAAACATATATTTTTAGCCACTTAATGATAACTAACCTGTAAAATGTATTCTAGCAAACGATCTATCATCCTATAGTATGAATAATTGTCTATTGAATCGTATGCCACCTGTATAGCTCTCTTCAGTTCTTAGCTTGAATGGTATTGACGCCCCCACTTAGTATACATTATGTGTCAACAATACCCAAGTAGACTTAATTAGATTGAATTTAGAGAGAATGTGCTGTAAAACGCATAATATCAATGTTGTCGTTCTTTGTACTTGGAAGATTAAATCATGACTTGGTGGAACTTGCACTTTGCAGTAGCAAGAGACCAAATAAAAGATTTTGGCAACGCCTTCATCAGCACTTGGAAATTGCGGATGAAGGCGTTGCCAAAATCACTACAATTACATCACCTTGAATACGGTTAGAGGCCACCAGGTTCTCATTAGTCAAATCATGCCAATAGGATGCAAAAACTACCCAAATTGAAATTTTCGTTTAATCCCACGTCATATGTCTTTTGTCAATTCAATCATTGTTGCTTTTAAAATTTTGTAAGACATGGTACTTTTCATGGCCTTGAAAATCTTAGGTTAGGTGGAATTTTCTGCTTTATCCATACAGTACATTAACACTAGGAAAGGCATTAATCCCCTAGTTATCAAAATCTTTTATCGAGTGTATTACTTTTCTTATGCAGAAGAAATTCCTGGTGTCAGCTGCAAGTTCCAACAAGACATCGGATAAAGCGACAACATGGACCTTATTG